AATAATATTTCAATACAATTAGATTACCACCACAATGTTTAGGGTGTGATTATTTTTTCGTTCTTTTTGTATTCTAGATACAAATGTCAGATGTACAGATGTCAGAAGCATAGCTAGTAATTTTTTCCCACTTGATACTCTTTTTTTCTCAAATGATGACGTCATTTGCTGTACAGAAACATTTGTGTTATGAGATCCTATTTATTAATATTTGGTTTTCCACTAGCTCCAAACTAACACACTGAGAACAAACCCCCAACAAGGATTCCTGCATGTAATGAGGCATAGCCTAGCCAAGCCATAGTTTTGATGCCTCACACTTCCCCATTCTGCGGTGATATATTGTGTCCCCCAATATACTGTGCATCCTAATAAACTTATCTAGGGATTAAAGAACAGAGCCAGCCACTAAATCAGACATAGAAGCCAGGCAGTGGTGGTATACACCTTTAATCTTATCACTTGGGAGGCAGAGATCCATGTGGATCTCTGTGAGTTCAAGGCCACATTGGGAACAGAGCCAGGCATGGTAGCACACACCTTTAATCCCAGCAGTAGTTAATCATAGAGGTCTGGAAGCCTGTACAGACAGACAGAAAGTGATATAGCTGGGCAGAGAGAGGAAGTAAGATTGCAGGGCAGGAAAAGATATATAGGTGTGAGTATACAGGAAGTGGTTCTCTTGGGTTGAGGATTTCTTGGAAGGATTTTTAGCAGCAGTTCAGCTGAGATCCATTCCAGAGAGGACTCAGAGGCTTTCAGTTTGAGGAAACAAGATCAGCTGAGGAGTTGATAAGATAAGGTTAGCTGTGGCTTGTTCTATTCCTCTGATCTCTCAGTTTTCACCCCAATATCTGGCTCCTGTTTTTTTTAATTAATAAGACCATTTAGCAATTTGTGTTACACCATTCTTTACATAACTTTAACTCAGTCACGACTACTAACTAACTTATAGTATTAACGCAAAGTGTACAAGTAGGTCAATATAGCTTAATCTAATTTAGTTTGAGGCTAAGTCATTCGAGTACGTCATCACATTCAGTAATCATTCTACAACTCAGGATGTATTTTATGTGTAAATCCATGCGTTAGTGTATTTATAAGAAGTTGTAAATTCTAAAACACACCTTTACTACAATAAATGATAAAAGGAGCCATAGAATAGTTTAGTCCAAATAGACATTAGCATACAGAAAAGGTTAATGTAACTTGACAGGATTTATGTATTTTTAGGAGATTAATGAGGCACCCCTGTGTGAGCCTATGTATGAGTTTCCATAGAAGTTTGATTGATGGGAGAGTCCCCACCTCCAATTTAGGTAGCCACATCTCATGGAATGTGGGCACTCAGGATAAATGGAGAAGGATACCCCAGCATGTACCAGCATCCTCTTTCTGTGTGCTTCTAAGCTGCTAGGAGAAAGTGAAGACCTCTGCTGTACAAGGTCAAAGTGCAGGATTTTGCTAACAACTGGAGAGCCCTAAGAAACATGCCCCCTAGAGTTCACAAAGGAGTGTGACCATCCACCATCTTGGGTTTAATAGGGAGTCTGAGACCCCTGTGTGATTGAATCATGGGGCACACATCTATGAAAAACTATGTTGACATCATTTAAGTGACTTTGTGATAACCTACATGGAAACAATAAAAAACTAATGAACAAAGTATTTTCACAAAAGTAGTTAATATGAGGCGCTGAATCTTAAACATGGTAGTAATTCTTTTACAAATAAAAGTTCAAGTGTTTAAAAATTACTTGATGACAAAGCAATATCCTTACTTTTTAAGTCTTTTGAAAAAAAGAGGTTAAAAATTCATGTTAGCAGTGTATTCTAGGGTATAAGATACTTTAGAAAAGGCCCAAATCTTGGTACAGAGGATTTCAATATTAAGTAATTAATTTTTTTTTTCATGCAATGATGGAACTTTTGAGGTAAAGTAAAATTTGACCACATTGCATTTTTCATATTATGAGGGTGTTGGGATATGAAATTTTCTTTGCAAGCTTTAGCTTCTCAGTTTGTGTAAAGATTTTTGTATTCCATGTTTGCATCTATCTGTGTTTCCCATTGGTGTACCTATGTGACACTGTTCTGTCCCCAGGTCAGGCTGGATTACAACTCAAGCTTTAGAAGTGCTTTTCTGCCTGTGAACCTATAGCCTGATTACAGATTCAAATGCTAAAGGGAGGTGTGAACCTGAATTCCACCAGAGAAAGCTTTTGTAATGATTTATTTTGAGCTTGATTCATTATATCATCACTAAGATGGGAACAACAACCCATATTACAAGGGCTACATGGCCTGCACTTCTCATACCATATTTTAGAAAGTGCTAACCAAAAATGTGACAGGTATATGTAAAAGGAATTGATTTAAACTCCTTAAAAATGCAAATGGATTCATAACTTTAAGTCTGCACATATATTTTACCACTGCCTCAGACTTCTAAACAGTTTCAATTTTCTCCAGACCTTTTTGCAATATTCCCATACTTATTTGATATAAGGAGTTCAGCTTTGTCATTATAAACACAAATACATCTCCAGGAATCTTGCATAAATAGACCAAGAGTTCCTGAATCATTTTTGACACTTGACTAAGTATACATTGAGTGACAAAGAGACATGGCAACATCAAGACTGTGTTTGTCATATTCTGTGAAAATGTGTCAGTGACCACTCACTACAGAAGAACATTTGCTTTTCTTCCCAATTTACTTAAAAAAAAAACTTGCAAGTAATACATGTAATTTATGCTGGAGTAGGCTGCAACAGAGTGTTCCTGTTGTTGCGTTATAGAACCTCATCATGACACCTTTTAATTAAAATTGGGCTTTGACATTGACCTTGATGGGAATCAAGTCGTCAATCATTTTCAGCCTCTTAATGGTCAAAGTTTTTAGAGAATTCGGTCAGGAAAATTCTTAAAGTAATTTACACTCAAATGTCTTTAGTGTATGGTCAAGGTTACTTTAAGTGTATAAGATTGCCTCTCCTTGAAAGAGTGCTTCTCTGCAAATAGCAAACCAGTTTTGTTTTAATTAACATGAAGATTTATAGATGCTATGAATCATTACTTTAATTGAAGCAGACCATGATGCTGCAGTGACACTTGATGCTTCCTATGTCTTTTTTTTTTAACATGAGAAATGTTGCAAATAATCTTATGGGCATCTCTAATGCTTGAATCATAATTTTGTTAAAAATTTTATATAAGAACTTGTTTATACCTAAATTGTTTCTTTTCATGTATAGGCAATTTGTTGTCAATTTTTTTTCTCATGAAAGGTAGTGTTGGAAGCAGAAGAATATTATTTTACCCATGAATTTGATATATTATCTTTTACCATAACTACACAGATTGAAGAGAAATTAGCAAGTTAAGAATTGTTGATGTTTCTTACAATCATTCTTCTGTTTAACAATGACAATAATGACAGTTGCATCAGCAGATATTATTTATTAAATTCTTGCACTAGGTGAGTTTTAGCTCATTAAACAGAGAACTCAGCAATGAAAATTTATGTATTCTATGAGGGGAATTTTAAATTATCAAGTTAATAAACAGAAAATGATATATGTAGAGAATAAAATATTAGAGAAAATACAATTGCCAAAACATTTACACAGACTATTTCCAAACTGCAATTCTATATTAATAACACTGATTCTAACACAAATTATTTATGGAAAAATGAGATATCATAGAAATATTTTAATTTCAATGAAAATTAACAGAAATAGTGTTTCTTGAAAGAACTTTGAGAAATTAGGGTAAAAATATCCAAAATTTTAAGCAATAGTACAAAAAAGTACAGTTTCCCGTTATTATACAAGATTATTATTATTGTACAAGGTTATGATTATTATACAAAATTATCATTGAAAGAAATCAGCAGAGGAAGGAGCACACAGAAGCAGATGGGGCTTTCACATGGATCCTTGATGTAATAGCAGGCAGTCAACTTACCCTTCACCCTTAACCAATTAAGAACAAAAAGGGTAGACATCTATGAAGCAACTGTGTATTGATAGTTGGACAGTGTTGGCCTCTAACGCTTGAGAGAGAAGAATGTAAGGGCTGAGCTCCTCCTTCCCCTTTCCTGTGATGGTTATGCACATGACAGAACAGGAATTTGACAGAATGACAACATGTACCAATGATAACAAACAAACAAACAAACAAAAAAAAAAAAAACAAGAGGTGATACATCTGAGGGGTATTGGAAGGTTTGGACACAGTGGCACAGCAGGAGCTGGAGGTAGGAAAGGGAAGAAAGAGTCAATGAATAATAATTTAATTAAAATGTGAACGAACATTGACTAATTAAAACTAAAGAAGATGAGGAAGACCAACGCAGGCAACCTATACACTTCATAGATTACAACTAATATATTATTTTTAGATCTTACACATATGTGGAAGATACTTGAGTCATGTAAAAAATAAACATGAGGAGTTTTGATACAATAAGAACTAAATGTAAATGTACGCACAGTGCCTCGTGTGTTGAATAATAGGAATAATTCAACCCTCCTAAAACAGAGCTCTCACAACAAAGAAGCCTCCCACAATGAAATAAAGGTAAACTACTGTTTCCCTATATAATAATCCTGTGTTTAGCACCAAATACAGTTGTTGCTTGGATTCTAAAAGCTCCCTTGGGGGAGGGGCTGAGACGGCCGGCATCAACAACATAGACACTGGAAGTCCGTTGAGAGCAAATAACGAACTCATTTATTCAGTAACAGAGAAGGCCTTATTAACCCTTCACCCAGAGCCCAGTCTATATGGTCGTCCCTCATTGGCTGGGCACAATCAGGAACTCTGATATCAATCAGGAACTTGGACAGTGACTGTTGCTAGGCCCTCAGGCAGACAGACTCCAGGATGGCTCTTAGGGAGTATGTTATGTGCATGCCTTGGCAACTGGTCTGAGCTAACTTCCTAGGCCCTATGGGCCCATCCTACTACATACGGTAATCTTAGAAGGTAATCATTGCATCGAGTTTCTCCAGGATATTTATATTTATTAACTCTCACCTTAAGTGCAATCTAATAGTACTGTATATAGTGTAATCTAAGATTTTAATGTGGCCAGTGCCAGTACATTAAGTGTATAATATAATACAAATAGAAGTAAGAATTGTGGATTTCCTAGTTTGTTCCTGAGATACAGCTCTGTTTATTAATTTGCTTTCGCAAGTTAATTGAGTGTAGGTGGACTTCTATAGGAGCTAATTAGGTGTAACTATTTTTGGTTCCACTATAAAATTAGAATAAACAAAAACTTCCTAGAGGAAAATATTTCTTCTGTGATGGGTAAACATTTTCCATAATGTCGTTGGAGCCACAGGCTGTTTTGTAGAGTGTCAATGTGAGGGTGCAGGCTAGGGAGAACACTAATGACTCATGTGACTGGCACCATCATTAGTGCCACCGTTTTCCTATCCGCCACCGTAAAGTACATTGAATGCATGCTTTCTTGCCTAACTTGTGTCCTAACAAAAGGAATCAGACAGAAGTGTCTAACTTTCTGTCAGAACACAACAGAAATCAGGTTCCAAAAGTTCAGGACTAAGTAAGCACCATTTTACTACAGTGTCTTTGACTGGCTCATTGGTGTGTGTGTGTGTGTGTGTGTGTGTGTGAATGTGTGTGTGTGTATGTGTGTGTGTATGTGTGTGTATGTGTGTGTGTATGTGTGTGTGTGTGAGTGTGTGTGTGTGTATGTATGTGTGTGAGTGTGTGTGTGTGTATGTGTGTGTGTGTGTATGTGAGTGTGTGTGTGTATGTGTGTGTTTGTGTGTGTGTGTGTGTTAAATTTATGACCTTCCCTGCCTTGGCTTTATGAGTTCTGAGAACCCACAGGTGCACCACCAGACCTGGATCCACATATTTCCCAAATGGCTCTCAAGATGCATGAACAAGAGTCCAAAAAGTTACTCAATCCTAAATTAAAAAAAAAAAAAGCTTAAAGAGGCATTTATAGATTTAGGCTGTATCAAGTATATTTAACATATCTTAAAAGTAATAAGATAATAAATGAAAATACCAAGCATTGATATAGCAAAATGTATATTGATATAATTATGTATAACTAGGTAGATGTACAAAGAAAACTGCAGTACTTCTATTTTATAGATTTCCTGATGCAGTTCTTCAAGCACCGTCTTATTGCCTCCATTACAGACTACATACATACCAAGACCTGTGAATTCAGACAATTTCTGAAACACTAAGGATTGTGTAAGCATATACCTGTATCATACCCTACAGCTATAAATGTGCCAAAACATGATGCAGATACTTTAAAATGAAAAGAAAACATGCTTTACCATGTTGTCATTGTTAAATGCAACAATGTAAAACCAAAATAATTAAAAATAACAATTTATGCTTCACAAAATTTCGTTTTGTGTCTAGTCACTTTCTTTCCCAGGATCCTGTTATTTTTAGCTATCTTCTTGATCTTGTCCACTCTGACTACCATGTTCCTTTGCTCATTCTACTACTCCACATCCACAGTCCTGACACTCCCTCTTTACTTATATGTCCCCCCTGTCCCTAGATTCTACACATGACAAAAATCATGTTGAATTTACTGGAACAGTTAATATATTTAATAATGCTCTCTCCATTGAAAATATTACAATATTTGTGGTTAGAGACCAAACAACTTGAGGGAGTTAGTTCTTCCCTTATTTCCTGTGAGCTCCTGGTATTGGACTCTGATCCTTCATGATACTGAGAACTAAAATTCTGTTGTCTAAAAGCCACTCAGCTTACACAGTCTCCCCTTTGAATCAACATATGCAAACAGTGGAATAAATTTAATTTGCAGAAACCCATTTCAAATTTAGAATATCTGGGGGATTGTATTTATTTATTTATTTATTTATTTATATTTAATGTTTTACCTGTTTCTAACTTTTATTTATAGTTTTAAAATTATCTTCCAAATTATTTTTCCATTTTCAAAAACCTATTTTTTAGTTGAATATTGATCTTTTTTCATACAATGTATCTGATTATGGTTTTCCTTGCCCCAGTTCCTCCCAGTTCCTCTTTACTTCCCCTCGCTACCAAATCCACACCATTTCTGTCTTTTTCTCATTGGGAAACAATCAGACCTCTAAGAATAATAATAAAATAAGACAAAACAAAAACAAACAAACCTTAATAGGACAAAATAAATGAAAGGAAGAAACAGAGCCAAAGAAAAAAATGCAAGAACGCCATAAGGATGCTGAGACACACAAGTTCCCGCACACAGAAACCTCATAAAAACTCAAAAGCAGAAAGGATAATACATGTATGCAAGAGACATGTGAGGTAACATAATAATAATAATAATAATAATAATAATAGCAATTTTTAAAGCCCTGACCAATGAGGCAAATGAACCTCCAAGAATGTCCTCAAGTTCATTTTTGTTGGACATCTACAGCATGGCATGAAGCCTGTCCTTCAGAGTGGTGTGTTTACCCCGGTGAGCCTCTGTTGGAGAAAGATAGTTCTTAATTTGTGGGTGTTCATCAGTAGCAGATAGCTTCTGGGTTAAGGATGGGGCCTTGTGTCCACTTCCCATCTTGGTGCTGGACCACTTCCCAATCTGGCCCAGACCTGTGCAGGGCCTGTGCATGTAGTCACAGTCTCTTTGACTTCATATGTATATTTGATCCTTCTTCTTAGGGTCCTCTGTCTCCTCTGGACCTTACATTTTTTCTCTTTCATCTTCCTTAGAGTTCCCATAGGGATTTGATGAAGAAATCACTTTTTTTTTTTGAGACAGGGTTTCTCTGTGTAGTTTTGGTGCCTGTCTTGGATCTCACTCTGTAGCCCAGGCTGGCCTTGAACTCACAGAGATCTGCCTGGCTCTGCCTCCCATGTGCTGGGATTAAAGGTGTGTGCCACTGACTTTAAGACTGAGTATTCCAAGGTCTCTCACTCTCTCCACTTTATCCAGCTGTGGGTCTCTATATTTGCTCTTATGTAATGTCTCTAGCCTATCTAGTTAGTCTCAGGTTCCTGGCCACCCAATCAGGGTCAGGAAGGTTCCATCTCACAGAGTGGGCCTTAAATCCACTCAGAGTTAGAGCTGCATATTCCCACAATCTTTCTGTCATGATTGCACCAGCACATCTTGCAGGCAGGTCACCATTGCAGTTTATAGCTGGGTAGCTGTTTACATTTCTCATTTGGTAGTGTGCAGGATACCTTCCAGTATCATGGAAACTAGTCAGTAGGGTTGAAAGCTCTGGGTAAGCAAGCACACAAGCTCTACTTTTCCGTGTCTAGTGAATTATGTAGGTGTTGTCTTTAGTAATAGAATCGGGTTGTGGAGAACAACCAACAGCTTTGGCAATCGACCTAGCTTGTTTGGGGTTTCCCATTGGATTCCTTTGGCCAATAACTTGCTTATTTGTACTCCATTCTTGGAACTGGAGGATTTATTCGATGGTGAGATGTTCACATGGTATATGAGGAAGATCTGTTTATGACATCTGTCATCCCATTGATCACCATGGTTGATCCAACTGTTCTTGCTTGCTGTGGTATATGTGCTGTGAATGTGTGTGTTGCTCTCATTAGTTGATAATAAAGCTGTTTTGGCCAAAGGTGAGGCAAGATAAGGTTAGGCGGTAGAATCAAACTGAGGACAGAGATGAAGAAGTATGGAATCGGGGTATACTCTAGCCAGCTGCCAAGGAAGCAACACATGTAAAATGAGGTAACAAGTTACAAACCACATGACAAAGCATAGACAGTAAATATGGGTTAATTTAAATCTAAGAGCTAGCTAGAAATGAGCCTAAGCCATTGGTCAAGCATTTACAATTATTGTAAACCTTTGAGTGTTAAGTGGGAAGCAACTGCTGGGTATAATCGGGCATACAGGACAGAAAGCTCCACCTCCATTTATATTTGCTGGTTCAGCAGATATCATCTTATGGCCTCACCAAAGCACGCACAACCTTCCTGAAGCTGTGAGCTCAGTCAAAGAGGATGACCTTCCCAGAAAATAGGATGACCAGTCCTCAGTCAAGTATGCAAGGGTAGTTGTATTCCCCTGCTAGAATCTCCAAACAAGCTCTCAGGGGATGTTTTAAGTTAATAGCACTTATAAAGCAGGGACACTCTATTTCCAATGGAAACCAATCATGTTTGTTTTTTATATAATACTTTTGAATCACTGACAGCTGAAATGCTTGCCACATGCTCTGAAGTTATATTAAAGTATCCTTCTCTTCAGTTATTTTTCTCTAAATAGATTATGTTTAAAGTGTTTTGAAAGAAGTTTGGTAAATCCTGCAGAATGAAAGCCATAGCCTGATACCAAAAAAAGAAAATGTAGTAAACATGTTGTGGGCAGAAACACACTCTCTTATGAAAGCTATTTTATAAGGGGAGGTATATATAATATGCAAGCAAACATGAATTTATGTTTCTTGTAATTTGAGATGAACCCTAGATATAGCGATGCTTTTAGGAAAAGATGGGAAATTAGAAGTCACCATTCACTGAAAGAAAACTCTTAACTGAAAGAAATTTCCAATGATGCAATAGCGCAGCAATAGGATCAACACAAAAGGCTAGAGGTGAGCCTTGGTTGGCAGAATGCAGCCTAACATGCATCCAGCCTTGACTTCTATTCCCCAGTGTTGCATTAAATGGGAGTCTGGGAGTGCTGGTGCTGCACGCTTGGAACCTCGACACGCAGAGATGGAGACAGAAGGATCAGGGTTCAAGGACATTTTCATTCTCAGCTACAGTGAGGCCAAGACTAGCCTGGATGATATGACATCTTGTCAAGAAGAGACAGCAGGGGTTGGGAAATATCAACATAGAATCAACAAGGTAATGGGACGCTGAAAAATGGTTTCAATGAACCCTGGTGGGCAGTACGGCATGAGAGAAAGATCATTTGAAAGTGTTACTCTACATATTGTGAAACAGATATACTACTAATTCATTTAAAATCAGCTATCAATAAGCCAGACTCCAATGAACACTTTAGGGAATGAAAAAGGCACTGTTATTAACCACAGTAGGACCTAAGGTATACATTGATGATGAGTAAATTTAGACCTGTGACCACCTTAATTAATGACTAAGAAGCCTATCTCTCTATGGTCCTTTGGGAGCACATCTTCTGTGTGAGAGATTTAAAATCTCTGAAGTACTCTTAAATTTAGTTTGTCATAGCTCAACATCCATCAATAAAATTCTTTTGAAAGTTCTTAACACACTTAATGAATTAGGCCATTCAGTTTTCATTGTAAATCCCAGAATAAGATGAACGTTTTAGGCTTCATACAGCATTCTGTTTGTTATTGTAGAACAGGAGAGGGCTATTTTGCAGTACAACACAATAAAAGTTAAGGATTCAAAAGGTAGACTATATTACTATTGATTAATCATCATGGTACCATTAATATTGATTGCCAGTTTGACTGGATCTAAATCACCTGGAAGACAAACATCTGGGCATGTCTTTGAGGGAGTTTCTTTATCTGATTAAGTCACAGGGACTCACCTTAAGTGGCTTCAGCACCATTTCATTTACACACATCTGGGCTGAATGAAAGCGAGCAAGTTAAGCACTGGCATTCTGGGAGGTCTGCTTCCTAAATAAGGTTCAAGATGACCCTTTCCATGCTCCCCACACTGTGGTAACCTGGACCCTCAAAGGACTTAAAATAAACCCTTCTTTTTAAGCTACTTTTATTATAAACTTTGTCAGAGCCATGAGAAAAGTAGCTACTACAGTAATGTCCAGCTCCTCTACATGAGTTCACCATCAAACAACAATGAACAGCTGAGAAGTTTAAGAATGAATGAATTGGATCAACTTAGTTTTCCCAGTTTTATTAAGCCAATATTTTCTTCAGCACTACATAGTTGATATGCAATTTATCCTGCTGTCTTTGATTGTCTAGAAATTTGTTATTCTTTTTCTGTTTTTCATTAATTATTTCTATTAAAGATTATATATATATATAGATAGATAGATAGATAGATAGATAGATAATAGTTTCCTTCCTGAAACTCTTCCCAGTTCCTTTGTATCTCTCTACCTGCCCTACTTCATGTTCTCTCTCGCTCTCTCAAAAGACTCCAAAATACCAAAAACAAAAAAGTGAAAATTAAAACAAAGGAAAAAAAACAATCAAACTAAAATATTCAAAAAGCATATTTAAAAACATGGAGTACATTTTGTGTTGGTCATGTCTTCCTGGTCATAGGGGATTCCCAGTGTGGAGTGTGGCTGATATATCCAGTGATGATCAGGAAAAGGTGATAATTCCTTTCCCAGCAGGTACTAATTGCACATAACCTCTTGAGTAGATGTGGAACTTTGTATCGACTTCCCCTTCTCAGTGCTGTGATTTTTGTCTGAATTGAACTTGTACAGCCCTTAGGCATGTGCTGTCATAGTATCTGTGATATCATAAGTGTACTATAATTTTTGTGTAGAAGAAGATGCTGTTTCCTCAGAGTCATCCACCACCTTTGGATCTTTCTTCCTTCATTTCCACATAGATCTCTGAGCACTGAAGGGAAGAGCTCAACAAAATTCAGTCCCTGTTATTGCACATACATCAGAATACTCCAAAGTCTCTCAATCCATTGAATGTATAATAGTCTACTTTGGTACTCCCACATTTACTACTGATTTTGGCAAACTGAACATCCTACAATTTTTCCATTATCCTTATAACATGGAGGCCATATATATTGTTTTCAAACAAATTACATGTTGGCGTAGGCTAATATCTATATTTTTTCTATTTTACTTATTCCCATGGAAATGTTTCCTTTTGTAACATTTCTTATTCATACCATAGGTGAGATTTGTTCCTATATCTCTAGGTGAACCATTCAGTTGCCAATTTTAATAATTGAAGAATAAGCATTTTCAGGGTCACACCCAGCATTTCCTAACTTACTATTGGCAGTCAAGTAATAAAGGAAAACAAACATTATCCATCCTCAATCCCAAGTTTACATCTTACCACATAAATGAAAGAGATTCTTTCCTTATAACCAGAAATTGACTTCTGAGTAAAAGACAGTGCAGTGAATCAGCCTACTAAGATATATAATGTTTCTAAGTCCTTGAGTACAGTAATGTTTTCAGTAATACTTCCTTATACACAATTATTTGTGGTCTGGTTTTGTGAATTGTTAAAATGCAATGTAGGTTTCACACATGCCCTGTCAAGGAAACTTCTCTTTGCAACAGAGACCTTTACAGAAATCACACTAATTGTCTATCAAATACCAAACAGTCCACCCTGAACACATACAAATACAAGTAATATTGCATGGAATGAGCAACTTGTATTTATATATTTAAGAATGCACACACACACACACACACACACACACACACACACACACACACACTGCAAGAATTAAATAAAAGGAGAGCACATATTTGAAAGAGAGCACTATATATGTGAACAGATATATAAACCTGCTAAGCCCATTTTGTTGGTGGTGTGCATATGGTTTCAGGGGTTAGATAACTTTGTATTGGATGACCAAACAGAGGCTCATATCTGGCTACTTCTCCATTCTTCAGCAATCATTAGTTGCATGCAGTTCTTTCTCTAGGGCAGATCCTCATGAGATTCCTCATATCCCTTGTTAGCGTGTATACTGATATTATCATTGTTCATTTTTTATGCAGCTATTTATAAGAGAGGTAAACTTGGAGCAGACTATGATATTCTGGCTCTTAAAAATCTTCCTCTCTTTTGCAGATGTTCCTTGAGCCATGGATATAGGAGTTGTCATACCGATGTATCCACAGGTGCTTGAATTCCTGTAAGCCATTGATCTTTGCATTGTGTCTATTTGTGGTTTTTTGTAATGGCTTCTGTTGGCTGTAGCAAGAAGCATCTTTGATGAATGGCAAAAACTACACATATATGTGGGTATAAGGCAAGAGTTAAAATATAGTTAAAGGATTATTCTTGTGTAGAAAAGTGTTGGTAGTAGATTCTCTTCTAAGATCCAGGATCTCACTAGTCACAAGAAGTTGGCTAGTTTTCTAGTACCAGGTAAGATTTCCCTCCTGTTGAATGGGTTTTAAGTGTTGTAAGTTACTGTTATTTACCCACTTTGGTGCTTAGAATGAAATTTATTTAATACATCTACCTCTAAAAATAAATTAACAAAGACATGAGCAACTGAACAACCAGCTGAGGTAACCATGGTGAAGAAGAAAGCAGGAATCTATTCTCCAACACTTGTTGAAGCAATTAAAAAATAAACAAGAGTAGATGTCTGTAAATCAGTTACCATGTATAACTCGTGGGTAATTGTCACTCTGCCTCTATAAGCCTGCAGGCAGACCAAGCTATCACCTGGGTCTGGAAATGATTTCTACCTCTTCATATATGTTGCTATGTCTTGTTTTCGTTTTAACTGCGAAGACACCATGCCCACCCTTTTCACTCATTTACATCGTCCCTAGTAAGATGGCCTGTGAACTATCATTTCTGTATTGTTAGTAGTCACCTTCTGCCTTCTCCCTTCTGTGTCTAATGTCTATCAAGCACCGTGATGACATGATAGAGTGAAGTATTCTGTGCTCTTCCTGTGTGAGGACAGCTGGATGCTGAGATACGGTTTAATCACTGGCTGACCTTACCTTGAACTTTTGGTAAGTGTGAACTAAGGCAGGCATGTCTTCACTTACCAATGTTCTGAGAACAAAGAGTCTAGCTTTGAAATATAATTTTTCATAATAAGAGAAATTGAACGTTACTGGAAAACCCCACACATTGAGAATGTCTTTCTAAGCCTTTGAAGTTTAATATTCCTGCTCTCTCTCCCTGGAAGTGGTTAGCAGCTAAGGTTTGGTGTCATTTCTTTCTCTAATTCAGTAGGCGCTTCCTTCTATATTTCTTGAAGTCTATCCTGTTCACACATAGTTGAAGATCAGTCAGGATTTAAGAATAACTAGGATCTACATTCGTAGATGCTATCACTATCGATTTACATATCCCCTTCCTCCTTTTCCAGGTTCTCTGCAGCTCCGGTTTTCATTGTATTGAAACTTAAAGCATCTACACTGTGACCTTTACTTTGAATTCAGTTGTCCTCTGTTGTGAAAGGACAAAAGTGCTTTCAGAGTCAGGACACAAATGTTCATCCCAAGTAATACATTTTTATTGTTAGTGGGCATCCTGCTCTACAGCTTCTCATTGACAGTGTTCTTCATTACTTTAAAACACATATGCTATTCGCATTTAATTGCTTTAATGTAAACCTTTGTTAAAATTTAAAGTGTCATCAAAGGAAGTTTAACCATACTTAAGATACTATAGAATTACAAAAGTTTAACATCTGTTTTTTTTTTCAGTATCTTCTTAAACTGTTCTTATAAACCAATGGAGGTACTCTATAGTATATGAGTCTAGTATATGAATATAAAATAATTGGGTGATAGATACACTAATTTCAGATTCAATTATTAATCAGATTTATGATTGAATCAGTGTGCTTTATATAGATGCCATGAATTCAAAGATGGTGTTTGAATGAAAGCTATTAACATAAACTTTTTATTTAAACTATGTATGTGAGTATTGATACACTGATAAATAGATAGATAGATAGATAGATAGATAGATAGATAGATAGATAGATAGATAGATAGATCAATGATTTTATGTTAGAGGATTCAAGTTCAAATATTGGTTAATGACAGTAGTAGAAAACTATTTGGAAGAGTAAAAACGTATCTATTTTATTTCTGTAAAGTGTGCTTTTTTTATGATCATATATAAAAGAAAATGTGATAAATTTTAATGTTTTGGATTATACAAGTGTTTTGAGCATCTTAGAAAAATATTTTCCTGCAAGAATGGTTTTGGGTGAGATCAAACAGCAAGTTGTAATAAATCGTAATAAACTTAACAAATCACTTAGATACTTAGACATTTTACAACGGTGATATATTTTTAAAATAAAAATGGAAATTTTTATGAAAGCCTTTCACAGTGTCTCATGTGTGACTGGATTGATGGATATTAGTGAATAAAACATTCTTAATTAATTTTCTAAATCCCTGTTATACAAAACAAATCTGAGGAACACAGAGTGGAAAGGTGCAGTCTGTGGTCAGCAACAGGAGGGCAACGCTTCTTTTGATTGTATAGCTGTGTATTTGTCCTTATGGGAAATTACTTCGTATAGAGAACATGAAAATTTAAGGCATGTTGATGAGTAGTGAGCACCCCCTCCCAATCATCCCCACAGCCAGAGAACTAAGCTAGTTTGGGATACTGTGTTACAGCAACTATTTTCTTTAACGATTCAGTGATTTGTATTATTAAGTGGCTTTGCCAATAGGTTTGATACAGAAACACGCATTTTACAAACGAGGAAACCAAGCATGCACATTTGAATGCTTTCTTACGTTTGAAAAGTGTAGCTGTCAAAATAATTGGAAAATTAAGATCTGTGTTGGTCTCTTCCTATAACTAAATATTCCAGTTGTATGCTATTAATTTCTATAATACTATAGTAAATAAGTCTTTCCTTCAGCTTTGAGAATTTGGTTTTAGTAGTGTCTTATAAACATTTTTTACTTCATTGTGAGAAAACAATAATGATTATAAAAAGTAAATTGCAATTATTTACATTCTTTTACGGCTAGATTTGAATAATGTTCCTGAGTCTTTGTGTTGTTTTGCTTTCTCTCCCCACCTCTCTCTGTGTCTCTCTCTGTCTCTGTCTCTGACCTCTCTCTGTCTCTCTCTGTCTCTGTCTCCCTCTCTCTCTCAATGTTTTGTTGGGGATTGAATTTTATATTTGCAGAAAAGTGTTTTACCCCCTGCTACTTCCATCCTTGATGAACACTCTTATTCAAATTTTAGATCTGGGATTTTCACACGCCTTTATAGATCCAGTTGGATTTTGCTCAGATATTCTAATACACTAATTCAGATGAGTCCCAAGATTCCATAATTCCTTTGAGCTCTCAAGCTGATGCTCAGGTCATTGGTATGGAAGTTATTGCAAAGTAGAAATGTTTAGAGTGAAACTATTTTTATGAGTTTGGTTAGACATCATCGGATTTTAAATTATTTTCAACACAGTATACATCATATCAGATATGAAAATTAATAAGAGACCATTATACAACTTTCATTGGAATATGATAATCTATTATTTTATGATATAATCAACATATCATGCAGGAGACATTTTGACACATAGTTATTATAAGGTTTTTTTTTTTTTTTTTTAGTGCCTAGAATGTCCTTCATTATAGGTAGTGTTGGAGAGAAAGCATAGTAGAATTATGCAAGTGTTTTTTTTTTTTATTGGTTAGGCAGAGGGCTTGGATTCTTGAAAAGCAGATAGCTTTAAACCACATTCCCATAAGATCTTGAAAACCATAATTATATCAATTATCCCATCATTTTCTGTTACAGATCTCTGAAACAAATTAAGATAAATTCAACGTCAAAATAAAAAAGCTTGGATGTGGCGAGAATCCATGAGAATAACCTGCAGTGTTATCATTGTCAACGTGTTCTCACTGAGACACCAGATCCCGGATGGTTTGCCTGTCTCTCCAGTGGCGGAGAGGTGGCAGACATTGGGGGGGGGGGTGTGTATGAAGAGATGGCATCAGTTAGGAAGAGCCACGTCTGCCTTAGACGTGCAGGGGAACTCTTCAAGAAAGGACCTCTTTTGTATAAATCCTCTGTGTGAAATCCATGCCCTTAATCCACAAATATGCTACTTTAAAAAAACAAATCACATCCTAGTATTTGTACCCAGATATGGATAACATACAAATCCTCGTATTTCCTAAATAAGTAACATAGTTTGTTGGTTGTAATGGTAGCGGGGTATTTGTTTAATAAATGGAAGTATCTGCTAAGGTGAAAAAAAAAAAACGCATTTGTCACTCAGACACAGTCATCTAACTTGCTTTTGTGTATTTCTCCCTCACTTTTTTTTTCTTGTGTGGCATGTTATACAGATAAACTGGAGATAGGTGCCGCCCTACATTTCTGTTTGCTCTCTTCCTGCAAAGGGAATGAGGATAGGACCGTGGGAACTATCACTAAACTTCAGCTTCCCGTAGCAGGCAGTGTTCAATGGCTACAGAGCAGAGTTCCTAGGCCCGCTCCCAACAGATCTCTGTGGTATTTTAACCAAGTTTATTATATTTAGTGTTATCTTCTGCTCTTTTTAGTAGAACACAATATGTAGTAAATATACGGCATCATTTGTAAGAGGTAGGCAGAAGTAAATAAAAGAGGAAATTGTCAGGAGCTTTCTCTTAGGAAGGGAACAGGGAACAGAACAGTGCTTCTATACCTACTCATTAAGTTGAATTCTGTGTTTACAGTGGGTTAAGAACATTCCCAACACAGTGGTTTTATTCTTGTGAGATATATGTTTAACTGTTATTACAAGCAATGGGGACTCAGAGCAAACCATTATAAAGTGATGCTTCCTTTGCTTCCATTCAGTTCACATATTTGTCTAGCTTCATCCTCAACTCCAATACAAGGAAGGAAGGCATCAGGAGTCCAGTTTTTCTTTTGTTTGTTTGCTTATTTTGTTTTTGTCTTGCTTTTCTTTTCTTTTTTTTACTGCTTTTAGTACATAAAAGGTCTCAAAGTATTCTCCATGTTCAGTACTCATTGTTCAAATCATGATTAATAGACAATATCAAGTAATAGGCAAAAATTAATAAAAATCATTCTTCTACCTCTAGCGAGCTGTATGCTGGCCCCATAGTAGGTAGAAGATCAGCTTTTGATTCTTCCCTGAAATACAGTGCTTTCACGAAAACACAGATGATGAATCTCAGCTGTCTGTTCTGTGTATTGCTTCGAGTTTTAAAAACACTTCTTTAGAATAACTGTTTTTGGTAATGACTCAGTCTTAACATGCATTCACACCATTCTCTAACATGCAGGTTTAGTTACACACATTTGATACGCGAGGAGACGCCACACAACCGACAGCAAGTATGGATTCAGCAGAAAGAAAACCATCACTTTGGAGCTGGCCAATTACTGAAAATGGGAGCTCACCAAAATTTTAATGAGAGAAAAAGCAAAATTCTCACTTGCTTCCTGGGGAGAATTACAGCATACACTTAAGCTTTTACAGAGAGGCGTAGAATACAACATGGACTAAGTCATTTGTTTTCCTCATCTTCTTTTGCTCATTTTTAAAAAAATTGTTGTTGGTAGCAAATATTGACTTCATGGAGTAATGGCTTCATGATGATATTTTTAGCCTGCATATCATGTACTTTAAAAAAATTCTCCCCACGTTACTCTACTTGGACCTCCTTGCTCTCACTAGTGTCCTCCTTTTCCCAGATAGTTCTACTTGTATTTTAATGTCATGAATGTGGACGCATGACATTGAAATCTGGGTTCTGAATATGAAAGTGCTACAGATTATATATTATTACGTGTAGGAGATACTCACAACCCTTACAAAATACTTAACAGAAGCAACAACTTATTTATTTTGGCTCATGGCTTCCATCCATCTCAGTGAATGTGGAGGAACCCTAGGGAGTGAGTGTGTTCTATGAAAGCTGCTCAAATATTGGGAAAGCCTTGGTCCTAACCAGAAGTGGTTGCGTACTCCAAGGATGGTTTCCAGCTATTGTCCATTCATGTAGGTCACATTCACAAAGGTTCCACAGTTTCCTAAATCCGGTGTATCTGTTAACTCAAAACTCACCCCAATTTGGCACACTTCAGCTCTGTTTGTTGAAATTTACAGTGCTAGGCAGTATATTGCCATCCCTCATCAGTGCCTACCATTAGCAATAGAGGAAAGGAAATAACGAAGAGAGGACCCTCTATGTCTCACACTCTGCTTGGATCTATGCCTGTCTTATACTGTAGCCTTTATACCCTGTTTACTGACTTCTAGTGAACTCTGTACTTGTATCTGAACAGATGTACCCAATCTGTTGCCAAGCTTGGTCATACAACAGTTAGAGGAAAAACAAGCGAAGAATTGTAACGCATACTAAAATGCCAAGCATTAGGTGTTGAGTAACTCATTAGAAATGTGTAATTATCATCCCCATTTTTAAAAAGAGGGAACTGGAAGCAAAGTCTTCAGACCGGAATCTAGCCGTTCTCAGCTACTCAAATTTCACTGTCAAACTCTTAACACTTCAAAGTTTATTGCATGAGCCCTCTATATGCTGAGGTTACTTTATATAATTTAGGGCATTTACTGACTAACTCAGTAAATAGTAAATACTATTTGGAATTCTCAGCTACTATGGAATATGGCTATTCTGCTATATAGATGTTCCTCCCAAGTGACAATACAACAATCCTATGATCCAACTCTACGGCTCTCAGGGTATATACATGAAAGAAGAGGTCAATGTACAACATTGACAATTGCATATTTGTGAGTGTTGCTAATCGTTATCAATAGCCATGGTAAAGACCTGACCTAAGTCTCCATTGATAGATAAAGAGAATGTGGTATGTGTACATAACAGATATTTATTCAGGTATAAAGAAGAATGAACTGATGTCATCAGCAGGAAAACAGATGGGATTGGAGGTTATAAGATTAGAAGGGTAGAAGATTCCACATTCTGCTCAAATCTGAAAACTCCCTCCCTGGCCCCTGACTCAGAGGCCTGTGTGTTGGAATACTAGGTCACCAGCTGGTGGTGCATTTTAAAAGGAAGTTGTTAATCTCATCTTTGAAAAGGTTTCTTCTTCCATTAATTTCAGTGAATGGACAGTTCACAAGTACCAATATAGATATAGGGCATAAACTGTTTCAATAGCTAGTCACCTCATATCCAGTCACAGGACTATCTCATGGCCATGCAGTCATACAGCGTAAAAATTTAAGTTTACGGATTTTTTTCTCTGTGAGTAATTAAATGTCATAGACACTAATTACAACAACTGACAAGGAGAATACTTTCCTAGGTTGAGTAATCAATGATTGTAATTATTTGCAAACATGGTCTGCTTCATTACATTTTCCTTGCATTCACATTTGCATAATTTAAGATCATCCATGGAACATCTTTCTTGTCCACTTCATTCAGATTCTCAAAGCTGGAGAGATCACAGAGATCATGTCCAACACAACTGAAAATTCCATCAGAAAATTCTGTACCTGAGCACATAAAGCAAGGAGCAAACAGAGTTAAATGAAAAATGGGTGAATCAGAACTCATTTTGTTAAATTAAAAGCTGTACACAGAATTAGATTTATTATGAACAATATGATGTATTGAAGTACATATACATTGTGTAGTGGGATAATTAAATATAGCTAGTTAACAAATGAATTCACTCCCATAGTTATCACTTCATGCTGAAAACTGTAACATTAAATGTGCTTGCATTTTCAAGAACAGATAAGAGACTTGAGTAGACTTTTTTTTTAAGTTTAATGACACTTTTATTAGGGTTTAAAAGAAACCCTAGTGCAGGAAAGCTGCAAACCTTGGCAGCTTCCCAGAGGAAGAAAATGGAGAAGAGAAGGAATAAAGCTATGCTTTTTGACTTAAGCCAGCATGGAGGTCAGCCCCACAGTGCAGAATTGCCCACATGATGTGGAGAAAGTTTAGAGAAAGAGTGAGAAAACCCAATGAGCCAGGCTTTGTTCATAAACAGATGAAAAGATAGAAAAGAAGCTAAAGGCACTGTTATGTCTTTTGAGTCAGGACTCAGAAACTTGGGCAGTCCCAAGAATAGCCAATGGTGCATTGTAGGGACTGTGATAGGGAGAGGGAATTCCAGGAAGCAAAAGTCCATGGTACTATTAAAGAGTAATTATTCTTTCTGCTTCTTTGGCCTTAGTCTTAGGGCAAAAATACAATTGGCCAACAGGTGCATGAAAAAAAAGCTCATTATCTAACTAGTTACAATGACATTCATAAAAATAAATAAATACCTTAAATATCTAATTGAGGATGTCGAGAAATGAGATCTTTTTTTTTTTCACAGAGATTTTGGGACTGTCAATTCATACTACAACTTTAGAGAACAGTAAATTGAGTCTGAATCGTAAAAAGAATAACTAGAATGTGAAACAATCTCCTGCTGAGGGATATATCCAAGGGAAGTGTAGTTGCTTTGTCAAAGAGGAATTTGCTTCTCCATGAGAAATGTCGCACCATTCATAGCAATCAAAAAATAAAGAGAGAGCCTCGGTTCATCAACATCTGACAATATCAAGAGTATGTGAGACATATACACAGTACACTACTGTTCAGTCTCAAAAGAGGGTAGAAATCTTGTCCTCTGTGACCACCTGGATGAACCTAGGGAAATCACATCAAGTGAAATACGGCACAAAGAGAAAGAGTAATGTAAACCTCAGAAAGCAGTAGCATAAAATGGTCATCACCAGAGGCTGCAGGGAGTAGGAAAAAGATAATACTTTTTAGAGCAAAAGCATTCTAAGTTTCAATTCAACTTCAATGTGATAATCTCATAAAAGATGGTATTTGAAAGCTCTAGAAAATAAAAAGATCACCAGTGTTATGTAGGCAATTGCATTAGAGTTTATTACATACCAACGTGGTACAAAATGTTTCCATGTGGGGAGTACTAAAATGATTGTATTGTGAAACTGGTAGTTGGCTTAATTGATTGAAAGTATTCATATTCTTCTATTTGGGGTACTATTCATACCCCAAAATAAAATGTAAAGAAATGTAATAAAATAAGAAAAAAATAGAAAATCCATTTTCTATGCTGAAATAAATGAACAAATAAAATAATAATAAAAAATACTCAAAGAGAAAGTCAATGATTAAAAAAATCACAGGAAGCTATGGA